GACTTTAACGACCACTTGATTTTCTCTATACATTGCTTTTACGGCGTTTATGTATTTGCTATTTATGCCTGCTTCTTTCATTGCGATCCATAATTTCTGCAAAGGGACGGAGCCGAATGCCTTGCGGAGATCTATAAAAGTAGCGTGTAGCTCCATTCCTCTTGCTAATCTCTTTTCTGTCAGTTGTTTTATTGTAAATAAAATATTACCTAATTTCCATTTTTTTTTTCCTAAAACTTCAACATCCCGAGTTTTTGTAAGGAAACATTTTTGGACTATAGTTTATAAAACAAACTAACATTAATTTTTCATGTAGATTCACACCCTTAAATATTCGCATATCATTAAGGAACACCCTGTGTAAAATAAAGCTTCCAAATCGATTGAAAATGTACATTTTGGAATGACCATTCATGAAAAGTTTTTGTCAAAGGACACGTCGTATGGCTTTAGAAAAGTCGATCGAAATCATAATCTCAATGAAAATTCTACCTTAAAATCGGCTTGTCTGGTCAGCCTGTGGTCGCGCGCCGTTAAGCGTAGAAAATGAGTTTTTTTAGCACGGCTCGATTGGCCATTAAAATAAATGCATTCGATTTGTTCAGGAATTGGACGATGAACAACGGGTCCAGTTCCAATCGAGCTTGAACGTAAAGTTGGCCGTGGCAGTGACATATAATCGTATTACGTATCATTACACGCTCGGCGATTTAACTGAATTAACACGTTATTTGGTTAATAGATTGACTTTGTATACTTTATCTGAAGTCACTTGAAACACTGTGAAATACCGGGTGCGTTTTATATATCTATATTTAACACGCTCTGTTGCTGCAAAAATCGCCAAATTTCGCAGCAAATATAAGATCAAAGATAGTTTCACCGGTCCACGTGGAGTAAAGCACGCCTATGCGTGGACATAGCCAATGAGAAAGCGTGTATTTCAGAGCTCGGAACAAGTGCAGGTGGCTACTGAAAATTGAAACAGTTTAGCCAGTGCCGTGTAGCGGTGAATAAACGTGTTTCTTTAGTCTGTCCGTGTTTTTTCATAGATTTTATTAGTTTGTGTGTTTTTGACTTTTGAATACTCGGTTTACTTGTTGATTTAATTGTTGTGTTGATTGTTCTTGTATGTCCTAAATATGGCTCTTTGGAGACCTTGGGAAAATGCTTCAAGCCACGAGGAGATGGTTGATGAACCTGTGCAGGCAGAATTCTTTCATAAAGATTTAGAGGAACAGACCCAAAGAGTAATCCTAAATATGTATGATTGTCTGAAAAACGAAAATTCAGATTCCTCGCAAAATCAAATTTTAAACAGAATTTGTATCCTGACAAAAATCAGTCGGTCTACCATTTATCGGGTTATAAAAAGGGGAGATGTAGTCAACCATTCCTTCCACAGAAAGCGCATAGGGCAAAAATTAAAAAGAATAGACGTGGGTTTTCAGGAAGATATTCGTCGTATAATATACGGATTTTATAAAGAAAATTTGGTGCCCACGTTGGAAATGATACGGGATAAATTAAAAGATTATCCTGAAGATTTTTATAATTACAAATGCTTAGACTCACTGCACTGTATTGTAAAACTGTGTGGTTTTCAATACAAAAAATTAGATAAAAGAATGGTGATTATGGAGTCGTCTCGAATCGTTGAATTGCGCCAAGAATTTTTGCACAAAGTTAAAATCTATAGAGAGCAGAAAAGAAATCTGATTTACCTGGATGAAACGTGGTATGATACCCATGATGTTGTGCAGTACGGCTGGGTTGACGACAGCAACAAGTGCATTTTAAATGCACCATGCAACCGTGGAAAACGAATCATTATTCTCCATGCTGGCAGTGAAAATAGATTTATACCTAATGCCTTGCTGTTATCTGCCAAAAGTATCAAAGAATCATGTGCCGACTATCATGAGGACATGACCTCCGACTTATTTGAAAAGTGGATAGAGCAGCAGTTAATACCAAACATTTCCCCAAATTCAGTGATTATTATGGACAATGCGCCATACCATTCCCGACAGAAAAACAAAATTCCGAATACAGGCACAAAAAAACAAGACATTATTGATTTTATGAAGGATAAGGGAATGGAAATACCACAAAATTCAACCAAAGCCATATTATTGGATCTTATTAAAAGACAAAAATTTGAAAAAGAGTATGTTGTTGACAATCTGCTTCAGCAAAATGGCCATGAAGTATTACGTCTACCTCCCTATTACTGCATTTTTAACCCGATTGAGTTGGTCTGGGCTGCTTTAAAAAAAAAGTAAGAAAACATAATCAGACCCCTCAATTAAGTGAATCGCTATTGGCCACAATAAGAGATGCAGTATCTCATATTGCTGCCACAGACCTATGGAAGCAGTGTTCTAGGCATATTATTGAAAAAGAAAATGAATATTGTATTTTGCCTCCTGTAAATCCCGTTGTAATTCCTCTACAAGATGACTCTAACGACAGCTCCGAAGGCGAGGATGATATATAAATACCTATAATGTAAGTCTTTATATACCTTTTTATATACCTACCTGCTATGTAAATATTTGCCTATGTCAAACGTTGGAATTCTGTAATTTTTCCATTTCTTAACTTTCAGTCAACATAAATTAAACTCCCAATATAAGTATTTTTTATCCCAAATCAAAAAAATAAGAAGATAGTAAAATCCATTTATTGTGATATAAAAACATTATTATTATCGTTCTAAATAAATGACCGCACGCCTATGATACGTCATGAAATTACAAAGGACGCGCCGACCAAAGGTTTTTATGCTATTTCAAGTGACTTCAGATAAAGTATACTTCCATGGAGGTACCAAAGAAAACGGATGAGTCAAATAATAACAATAAGGTAGGTTCACTTAGGTGCGATGAATCTTTGACCTCTTCATATCAGATTAAACTGGCTTTGCAGCCTGGAAATTTCTACCCAAATTCAAGTCTCAGAACAGACAGAGATATCGACTTACGATATTCGGGGAAGAGGAAGTCTGTTGCCATGGCCTTCGCGACCACCTGACCTAACTTGTCTTGATTTTTGTTTATGGGGTCGCTTAAAGGTCGTGGTGTTTCAGACTCAACCTACAACCTGAGAAGATATGAAAAACCGGATTCGTAATGCAACACGTAACATACCGAGAGCCGACATTAAAGCTGCAGTTTTGTCTACCCGTGAGTCTCAGGAATGCATAGAGCGTGGTGGTCAGCATTTCGAGCATTTAAAACCTTTCCATGTTTTTCATGGCCACAGCTTAATAATAAAAAGAAGTTCCAGATAAATTAGTAATAAAACTTTCTTTGGCCTAAATTTGTGGTTCGGAAGAATAAATAGAGATGTGAACGTGTTTAGACATCACTTAGCTACTTTTTCATGAAAAAAATCGTAGCAATGCATTTAATTTTTTTGAGAAAATCGACCGTTTCTATCGGAATAACGGAAAACGCCCTCTAGCGGCCACATGTGAAACTAACTAAATTTCAAATAGTATAAAATTTGTAGTCCAAGAACTGCTCTTATCAACTGGCCCAAGGTTGTTAAAATCTGCGATGATACAGGGTGTTTTTTACGGAAACCTTAGAATACCCCCACCACTTTATATTTAGAGATACAGCAAAAATTGTCAAACAAAAAAGATTCGGATTATCCTCGAATTTAAAGATCAGGTATTTTTTGTAAGGTTAATAAAACGGAATTCACAGAAACATCACTTTTTTAGAAAATATTTTCCAGATTTTCTTTTGGCGGTTTTTGCTACCCTGTACACGTCATGTAACATCCAAAAAAACGTAATCAGTCTACAAAATTTTCTCGATTACAATACTGAAGTAAAATGGATTTTTTATTCTATCGGTCAAAGTGGAACACATTTAATGATTGTACGTAGCTTTTTCCACGTGTAACCCTAGATACAGGTTATCTAATTCCAGGTCAAAAAAATCTAATGTGCCTTGATATAAATTTCAGTTTTTTGAATCGATATAATTTCAACGAGTCGTCTGAAAAACGTGAGTTTTTTTAAGTCCCTGGTCTACTTAAAGGAAACAAACTGTAAACCAATCAATTCTCTAATCCACATATTGATTCGAGATTTCATAAAAGGCTTTTTCGTATATACTAATTTGCTTAAATAAATCAACCATGAAATTCATTTTTCCCATCTGAGTAACTAAAGAGTATACCGGTTAGAATTAAACCATATGTGTTGAAATTTCCAATGTATACATAACAAATTTTAGCAAATATTCTGTTGACGTTAATTGCGGATAATCTTGTTTAGATTTGTGCAAACATTCGTCAGTTTCTCACGCTAAGACGAGATTTTTAAGTAGCATAAACACAAAGTTCGGGGAAAGACTCTATTTTCTGACGAATCAAACTTTGTACTTACACCACCATCCAAAAGTTGGTCGTCAGTTAAGAATGAAATAAATATTGCGTAGAGTCAACCTACTTGACGTCATTTTTAAAGTTTTTGAGACTATAAATCTCTCATAAATTGAAAAGGGTCAACATTAGAAAAAAGTTATTAAGCACCCTTTTTGTTGAAAATCCACAAAATCTTAATTATCTTTATGTTATGATTTTTTGAAAAATATATAACACATCTTGAAACATGTTCAAGATTGTTCGTTTTTATCGAATATCTTATATTCCTCTATCTTTAACCATTCTCAAGTTCGTGACGAGACAAATTTAAAGCAGACCTTTAACACGGTGCAAAAAAACATTCTCATCAAGATTACCCATTAGGTAATAACGACTAACGAATTTATTTGCATTTCTGATTACAGCGACTGCAACTGTGAAGATGGTGTTAAATAGATAATGAGTTGTTATGAGTTTAAAAACGACGTAGATGAGACGCCGGATCGTTATTATTGCGGTTATGCTAATTGACAAAATCATTTATTTGCTTATTTGACGTGTTGACTAAACGAATGTTTTGTTATTGCGATAGATTGTTCAAAAATCGTTTTTTTCAGGATAAGTCTAGCGATTCCTTTCGGCCCAGACGGTCGAGACAGGTGCCATATGTACGATGGCGATTTCTTACAAGCGTTGGACAAAGGTCTCAGCACTCCAGATCCGTCCTGGCCCATTGTGCCTTGCAAATACGGCTGGGAATACAACAGGACCGAAGTCCCCTATGACTCTATCTCCACTGAGGTAAGATACTTCTACATACGTAACACGAATAACATGCTTTAAGTTGTAATTTTTATGTAAATGGTGAATCATCTTTCTTGTCGAGGAACACAGATGCGGTTACAACAGATTTGAAAAAATACTCGTATGAGACATTTTCGTAATATAAATTATTTTTTGAAAATTCTGTGGCCTGGTGACTTATTGAAAAAAAAACTAATCCGAAAAAAAGGGTTTGTTTTATAAACATTTAGTCAAATGTGGCTTAGATACCTCATTGCTCCATCATTTCTGGAATAAAGTCTTCTAAGACATCTGGAGAGTAATGATTTAAGAATTATTTGGAACGCTATTGAAATAAAAATAATTCAGCCATCGGTTTTTATTCTAAACAATCCTAGGATCACACTGTTGTATTTTCTATCGACTGTGTTTGACTATCAATCTAGTTTAAATAGAATCATTTAATAGTTATTAAGATAAAAAATTAACGGATTCAGCTTGCACATTGTTTTGGGGCGAATCATCGATAATCATCCAATATTCTACAAGGATAAGCAATATGTAAATTTAGTGTGAAGCATGTAATTGTTCTTATTGGCAGCTAAACTGTGTTGAGGTTTTTGCGGTTTTAAGGAAGCCTCGATTAGACACGATACATCGACATACTTTATTGGTGCATCACTGCTCGTTTTCGAATATTTCCTCCTATAATTCTACCTTTAATTGATAAATATCCGACGAGAAATCTTTAAATGTCGGGAAGTTTTGGTCAAATTTTCTGAGATATATGATCCATCGCAACAAGATAGTATATGGTGCCATCTATTGTCAGAATCGCAGCTGGCCTGCTTTAACAGTTAGCATATTGCATCGAAGCACTAAAAGAAGACAAAGGAAAATTTCTTCGTCAGAAGTGGGCCAGAAAGTTCTTTTTTCAATGGGATGTAGCGTTTCCGTGGGCTGATGGACTAAATTAGCAGCAATTTAACTTTTATGGCGATATGTTTATTTATTTCGTATGACTTTTTGATCTAACCACTAAAAAAACGTGAAAGGAGCTTAACTCGTTCCACCAAGCATAAAGGTAGCGTTTTATAAACATTTTATGAAAGTTCGGCAACACCGCCTCGGTAACCAAGGACGAGTAATAGTCCAAGAGCCGACATACATCGCGTACTGATATGGAACGTTGAAAATGAGTCAAATCGTGTTTTGTTGTTTTTTAACTGTTGGAACTGTAAGGATCCCAGCTCATTCATGAAAGCCCGGTCATCATTATGGCCACTGGAGGCCCATTTCTTAGATTATTAAACTGCTTAATTAGCCAATTGGTAGATTTGTTGTTATGTAGCTAGATCAATATGATTTTTGTGCTAGCTGGACTGGGTGTGCGACAACAGCGCCCTCCCGTCGACCGCCCAATCAATCTTTTTCTGCGGTGCCATTTTGGGCGGGCTGGTGTTCGGCTGGTTGGCGGACAGATTCGGCAGGATACCAGCTTTGGTGGGGACGAACGTTGCCGGATTTATCGGAGGAATCGCCACCACATTTTGCACATCGTTTTGGTCGTACTGCTTGTGCAGGTTCGTCGTCGGCATGGCGTTTGACAACTGCTTCACCATGATGTACATCCTGGGTAAGTTCGAGATAGGAAACGCTAGATGGATGGTTAGAATATACTTGAAGTTAAAATTGTCTCCACTTTGCAGTTTTGGAATACGTGGGTCCAAAATGGCGGACGTTCGTGGCGAATATGTCCATAGCGATATTCTTCACGTTCGCAGCGTCGATCCTGCCCTGGATAGCTTATTACGTCGCCGATTGGAGGATACTGTGTTACGTCACATCGGCACCATTGGCATTGGCTGTTTTCACACCTTGGTTGGTACCTGAATCCGCAAGGTAACACTCTTGAAATGTGCCACGTTATTTAGAAGCAAAGCCAGAAAAAAGACAGGTCTTGAAGGAAAATTTCTCGTCGCAGTGCGCGTTGTTACGTAGCACGTTCCAAATTGGAAAAGTCACATGTCTTTCGGGAATACGTTTCATTTTCAGTGAACAACAACTTGAGGGATGTGAAACTGAAGTGGCTGTCTATGTAGAACGGGCTACGTAACAGCGCGCGCTCTTGAACATGGGCGGCGCGGAAATTTTGTCAAAGGGGGGCTCAAAGTTTTGCCCTTAAGAAATCTGCTAGTTAAATTTACCAATTAATTGATTGTTTCAGATGGCTTGTGTCTCAAGGGGAAACAGACAAGGCCATAAGCATTTTGAGAAAATTCGAAAGGATAAACAAATCCAAAGTTAGCGAAAGCACATACCAAAGGTTTAGGGTGAGTACAGCAAAGAATCCTTTATCACTTTGTCTGACTGTTTTTATTTTTAGGATTCTTGTATGAGAGCGAAGAAACTGGAAGAAGAAGACAAAACCTACTCGGTACTGGATCTCTTCAGAACGCCCAGATTGAGAAAAATCACACTCATCATGGTCGTATTGTGGATGGTGATCTCGTTAGTGTTTGACGGTCATGTGAGAAACGTTGAAACTTTGGGTGAGTTTTGACTCTGATCTTTCTTTAGATTGGGCATGTTGTTGCTATGTTATTTTGTTGTAGGTCTCGATGTGTTTCTGACGTTCACGATAGCCAGCGTGACAGAGTTCCCGGCCGACACGTTTTTAACGATGGTCCTCGATGTATGGGGAAGAAGATGGTTGGCAGCTGGGTCTCTAATTGTCAGCGGTATATTCAGCTTACTTGCTACTACAGTTCCTATAGGTAAGAACCGATTTTAAACAAAAATGGATTTCCTAGACTATGCGGAAAATCTGTCGGATTTATTTGTCTCTTTTCGCTCTTTCAAGATTCCTTTGACTCTTATTTCGACTGTTTCAAGTCTTTAAGCTCTTACTTCGACTGCTTTGGCTATTTTTCCGAATCCTTTGACTATTATTTCCATAGTTTCAACTCTTATTTCCACTCTTTTTAGCTTTTATTTTGTTTCAACCCTGTCGACTCTCATTTCGACTCATTTGACTATTATTTCGAATCCTCCGATTCGTATTTCTCGAATCGAATCTTACTTCAACTCTTTCGACTACTTCTGCTCTTATTGCGACTGTCTCAGCTCTTTCGACTTTTATTTCCGCTGTTTCAATTCCCTCGTCTCTTATTTCGACTGTTTTATCTATTTTGGCTCCTTCGACTCTCATTTCGACTGTTTCAACTTTTTCTATTCTTACTTTGACTGTATCAACACTTATTTGGACTGTTTTCATTTTTTCAGCTCCTTCGACTCTTATTTCGACTCCTTCAACTCTTCGACTGTTTCAACCCTTTCGACTCTTATTTTGCCTCTTTCGACTCTCATTTGAACTGTTTCAACTCTTTCGACTCCTTCAACTCTCATTTTGACTGTTTCAACACTTTCGACTCTTATTTCGCCTGTTTCAACTCTTTCGACTCTTATTTTGCCTCTTTCGTCTCTCATTTGGCCTGTTTCAACTCTTTCGACTCCTTCAATTCTCATTTTGACAGTTTCAACACTTTCAACTCTTATTTTGCCTTTTTCGGCTCTTATTTCGCCCGTTTCGAGTCTTTCGACTCCTTTTCCGACTCCTTTTCGGTTGTTTTAACTCTTTTTATCTTTATTTCGACTTCTCCAACTATTCGACTGTTTCAACTCTTTTGACTCTTATTTCGACTCATTTAACACGTATGACGATATTACGACTCTTTTAACTATTTCGACTCTTATTTCGTCTGTTTTAACTCTTTTGACTCTTACTTTGCCTCTTTCGGCTCTTATTTCAATTGTTACAACTCTTATTTCGACTCCTTCAACTCCTCGACGGTTTCAACTCTTACGACTTCTTCAGCTCTCATTTCGACTGCTTTGACTCTTTTGACTCTTATTTTGCGTCTTTCGGCTCTATTTTGGTTGTTTCAACTTTTTCGACTGCAACAACTCTTCAACTGTTTCATCTCTTTCGACTCTTGTTTTACCTCTTTCGCCTCGTATTTTGATTGTTTCAACTCTTTCGACGCGTTCAACCCTTCGACTGTTTCAACTCCTATTTCTACTCTTTCGACGTCGTCGACTCTCATTTCGCCTGTTGCAACTCTTTCGACTCTTATTTTGCCTCTTTCGACTCTCATTTCGTCTGTTTCAACTCTCTTGACTCTTACTTTGCCTCTTTCGGCTCTTATTTCAATTGTTACAACTCTTATTTCGACTCCTTCAACTCCTCGACGGTTTCAACTCTTACGACTTCTTCAGCTCTCATTTCGACTGCTTTAACTCTTTTGACTCTTATTTTGCGTCTTTTGGCTCTTATTTAGGTTGTTTCAACTTTTTCGACTGCAACAACTCTTCAACTGTATCATCTCTTTCGACTCTTGTTTTACCTCTTCCGCCTCGTATTTTGATTGTTTCAACTCTTTCGACGCGTTCAACCCTTCGACTGTTTCAACTCCTATTTCTACTCTTTCGACGTCGTCGACTCTCATTTCGCCTGTTTCAAGTCTTTCGACTCTCATTTTGCCTCTTTCGACTCTCATTTCGTCTGTTTCAACTCTCTTGACTCTTACTTTGCCTCTTTCGGCTCTTATTTCGATTGTTACAACTCTTTCGACTCTTATTTCGACTCCTTCAACTCCTCGACGGTTTCAACTCTTACGACTTCTTCAGCTCTGATTTCGACTGCTTTGACTCTTATTTTGCCTCTTTCGGCTCTTATTTTGGTCGTTTCAACTTTTTCGACTGCAACAACTCTTCAACTGTTTCAACTCTTTCGACTCTTATTTCACCTCTTTCGCCTCGTATTTTGATTGTTTCAACTCTTTCGACGCGTTCAACTCTTCGACTGTTTCAACTCCTATTTCTACTCTTTCGACGTCGTCGACTCTCATTTCGCCTGTTTCAAGTCTTTCGGCTCTTATTTTGCCTCTTTAGACTCTCATTTCATCTGTTTCAACTATCTTGACTCTTACTTTGCCTCTTTCGGCTCTTATTTCGATTGTTACAACTCTTTCGACTCTTATTTCGACTTCTTCAACTCCTCGACGGTTTCAACTCTTACGACTTCTTCAGCTCTGATTTCGACTGCTTTGACTCTAATTTTGCCTCTTTCGGCTCTTATTTTGCTTGTTTCAACTTTTCCGACTGCAACAACTCTTCAACAGTTTCAACTCTTATTTTACCTCTTTCGGCTCGTATTTTGATTGTTTCAACTCTTCCGACGCGTTCAACCCTTCGACTGTTTCAACTCCTCAATTGTTTCAACTCTTACGACTTTTATTTCGACTCCTTCAACTTTTCGACTGTTTCATCTCTTATTTCTACTCTTTCGACGTCTTCAGCTCTAATTTCACCTGTTTCAACTCTTTCGACTCTTATTTTGAATCTTTCGACTCTCATTTCATCTGTTTCAACTCTCTTGACTCTTACTTTGCCTCTTTCGGCTCTTATTTCGATTGTTACAACTCTTTCGACTCTTATTTCGACTCCTTCAACTCTTACGACTTCTTCAGCTCTGATTTCGACTGCTTTAACCCTTTTGACTCTTATTTTGCCTCTTTCGGCTCTTATTTTGGTTGTTTCAACTTTTTCGACTCCAACAACTCTTCAACTGTTTCAACTCTTTCGACTGTTATTTTACCTCTTTCGCCTCGTATTTTGATTGTTTCAACTCTTCCGACGCGTTCAACCCATCGTCTATTTCAACTCTTCAATTGTTTCAACTCCTACCACTTTTATTTCGACTCCTTCAACTTTTCGCCTGTTTCAACTCTTTCGACTCTTATTTTGCCTCTTTCGACTCTCATTTCGTCTGTTTCAACTCTTTTGACTCTTACTTTGCCCCTTTCGGCTCTTATTTCGATTGTTATAACTCTTTCGACTCTTAATTTGACTCCTTCAAATTTTTGACTGTTTCAACTCTTATCTCTACTCTTTCGACGTCTTCGACTCTCATTTCGCCTGTTTCAACTCTTCCGAGTCTTATTTTGCCTCTTTCGGCTCTTATTTCGATTGTTACAACTCTTTCGACTCCTTCAATTCTGATTTCAACTGCTTTGACTCTTATTTTGGTTGTTTCAACTTTTTCGACTGCAACAACTATTCAACTGTTTCAACTTTTTCGACTCTTATTTTACCTCTTTCGCCTCGTATTTTAATTGTTTCAACTCTTCCGACGCGTTCAACCCTTAGACTGTTTCAACTCTTCAATTGTTTCAACTCTTATGACTTTTATTTCGACTCCTTCAACTTTTCGCCTGTTTCAACTGTTTCGACTCTTATTTTGTCTCTTTCGACTCTCATTTCGTCTGTTTCGACTCTTTTGACTCTTACTTTGCCCCTTTCGACTCTCATTTCATGTTTCAACTCTCCTGACTCTTACTTTGCCTCTTTCGGCACTTATTTCGATTGTTACAACTCTTTCGACTCTTATTTCGACTCCTTCAACTCTTACGACATCTGCAGCTCTGATTTCGACTGCTTTGACTCTTTTGACTCTTGTTTTGCCTCTTATTTTGGTTGTTTCAACTTTTTCGACTCCAACAACTCTTCAACTCTTTCGACTCTTATTTTACCTCTGTCGCCTCGTATTTTGATTGTTTCAACACTTTCGATGCGTTCAACCCTTCGACTGTTTCAACTCTTCAATTGTTTCAACTCTTACGACTTTTATTTCGACTCCTTCAACTTTTCGCCTGTTTCAACTCTTTCGACTCTTACTTTGCCTCTTTCGGCTCTTATTTCGATTGTTACAACTCTTTCGACTCTTATTTCGACTCCTTCAAATTTTCGACTGTTTCATCTCTTATTTCTACTCTTTCGACGTCTTCAACTCTCATTTTGCCTGTTTCAACTCTTTCGACTCTCATTTCGTCTGTTTCAACTCTTTTAACTCATACTTTGCCTCTTTCGGCTCTTATTTTGATTGTTACAACTCTTTCGACTCCTTCAACTCCTCGACAGTTTCAACTCTTACGACTTCTTCAACTCTAATTTCGACTTCTTCAACTCTAATTTCGACTGCTTTAACTCTTACTTTGCCTCTTTCGGCTCTTATTTTGGTTCAACTTTTTCGAGTGCAACAACTCTTCAACTGTTTCAACTCTTTCGACTCTTATTTCGACTCCTTCAACTCTTCGACTGTTTTAGACTTACAACTTTTATTTCGACTTATTCGACTCTTATTTCGACTGTTTTGACTCTTTATTTGACTCGTGCGACCTTTACAGGATTACCTTCCGCCACGTTGGCCATAATGGGCCGATTTGCCATAAATATCTCTTACAACATTGGCCTCCAGTACGCCGCAGAACTGCTTCCGACAGTGGTTCGAGCACAAGGAGTCGCCTTGATCCACATCATGGGATATGTGGCTAGCATAATCGCACCCTTTGTAGTCTATCTGGTAAGATTCCTTTCACATTTAAAATTAAAATAAATATTGTAGTTTCTCGTTTGTCGAAATTTTTACCAGTTTTATCTCGGGTCAAGTTAAATAAGGTAATGTATTTTTTTGACTCTATCAGCAGAAGTTTCTCATTTCAATATAATACGTGTTCGTTAAAGCATATATGTTGACATTATTTTCGAGATATCTGTATTACCAAAACGATTTAATTTAGAAAAAAAAACTTAAAAAATTGTTAATAATAAATTACTTCCTCGTCCAACGATCGGTGAATTGGTTCTGACTGAATGAAAAATATCGCGCTTATACAGTTCAATTACACTTTTCAGAATTTAGCGTGAAGTTTATAATTATCCGCTAGATTAGTAACAGGTAGTACCAATATAGTCCAACGTTTTATGTTTTGTCATTGTCCAAATAGTAACAATGGTCTAGTTATCAAAGAGAATTTGCCGTTCCTGTTATTTATAAACAACAATGTTTACCTACTAGTTAATATCGGGAAGTACGGATTAAATTTGGTACAGGGTGTCTCCCGTGGAAGTGTATTATTCAAAAAGTTGGTATGTTTTGCATTTTTTTTTCAGGCTAAAGTATCTGTGTCTTTGCCACTATTCATCCTTGGAATCCTCGGAATCCTAGGGGGACTTTTGGCACTATTTTTACCGGAAACTTTGGACCAAGAACTGCCACAAACGTTACACGACGGCGAGATGTTCGGAAAAGGCCAGAGAATTTGGGACTTCCCGTGCACAAAGTAAGCCTAATTAACTATTTTAAAAGTTTAAAATTTCCTAACATCGTGTTTCTTACATTTATAACCATACAATGTTGTTCAACGGTGACCTTGGAACTGACCTTGAGAATCACATTCAAGTTTTGTTCCAAGGTCAAATCGTTGTTAAAAATCGCTTAAGACAAGACCAAGTCACTCTTCATCAATATTCCTGCTACATCTTTTCATTTTCTCTGGGCTCACACAGTTGGTATTCATTTGACCTTTAGAGATGACCTTGGATTTAAATTCAAAACATGATCGGATTTCCCCTCCATTCTATTGCCAAAAAGAGGCTTTTCACTTAAAAAACAAACGTAGATTCCGAAATGACCTTGACAGTAAGGTTCAAGGTCAAATCGAAGGTCAATGGTCAAGGTCTTGTTGGATGTCTAAAGACTGGAACATGACGTTTTTCATCGATATTCCTGCCACATTTCTGGGAATTTTCCATAGGCTCACAGAATTGACCTTATTTGACCTTTGGAGATGACCTTTACCTTAGATTTCCGTACATAATTTTCCGTTCATGTCATTGCTTGTGTCAAAAAGGGCGCTTTGCAGCTTACAAACAAAGATAGACGTTGATGAAATTTCGTTGAAGGTGAGATTCAAGGTCAATATTGGAATCTTTGTTAAAAATTATCAAAGACCTTGCTATATAAATAATTGTGTTATTTTTTGATATATTTCCCCAGCCTTACAGAATTGACCTTCATTTGACCTTCGGAAATGTCGTTAGTCTTAGACTCGATACGTGATCGGACTTTGAGCTTATTCTATTGCCGGTATCAAAAGAGGAGAATCCACTTAAAAAACAACAGTAGACTTTGAAATAACCTTAAAGGTGTGGCTCAAGGTCAAATCCAAGGTCAATATTAAAATCTTTATTAAAACTTACTAAAAACTTGACCATGACATTTTTCATCAATATTCCTGCTACATTTATGGGAACTTTCCCTAGGCTCACAGAATGGACCTTCATTTGACCTTTAGAGATGACCTTGCATTTAAATTCAAAACATGATCGGATTTCCCCTCCATTCTATTGCTAAAAAGAGGCTTTTCACATAAAAAACAAAAGTAGATTCCGAAATTACCTTGACAGTAAGGTTCAAGGTCAAATACAAGGTCAATGTTGAAATTCTTGTTGTATGTCTAAAGACTGAACCATGACGACGTTTGTCATCGATATTCCTGCCACATTTCTGGGAATCTTCCATAGGCTCTCAGAATTGACCTTATTTGACCTTTGGAGATGACCTTTATCTTAGATTTCAGTACATAATTTTCCGTTCATGTCATTGCTTGTGTCAAAAAGGGCGCTTTGCAGCTTAAAAACAAAGATAGACTTTGATGAAATGTCGTTGAAGGTGACATTCAAGGTCAAATCCAAGGTCAATATTGGAATCTTAGTTAAAAATTATCAAAGACCTTGCTATATAAATAATTGTGATATTTTTTGAAATATTTCCCTAGCCTTACAGAATTGACCTTCATTTGACCTTCGGAAATGTCGTTAGACTCGATACGTGATCGGACTTTGAGCTTATTCTATTTCCGGTGTCAAAAAGAGGAGTATCCACTTAAAAAACAACAGTAGACTTTGAAATAACCTTAAATTTGTGGCTCAAGGTCAAATCTAAGGTCAATATTAAAATCTTTATTAAAACTTACTAAAAACTTGACCATGACATCTTTCATCAATATTCCTGCTACATTTATGGGAACTTTCCCTAGGCTCACAGAATGGACCTTCATTTGACCTTTAGACATGACCTTGGATTTAAATTCAAAACATGATCGGATTTCCACTCGATTCTATTGCCAAAAAGAGGCTTTTCACCTAAAAAACAAAAGTAGACTACGAAATGACCTTGACAGTAAGGTTCAAGGTCAAATACAAGGTCAATGTTGAAATTCTTGTTGTATGTCTAAAGACTGAAGCATGACGACGTTTTTCATCGATATTCCTGCCACATATCTGGGAATTTTCCATAGGCTCACATAATTGACCTTATTTGACCTTTGGAGATGACCTTTACCTTAGATTTCAGTACATAATTTTCCGTTCATTTCATTGCTTGTGTCAAAAAGGGCGTTTTGCAGCTTACAAACAAAGATAGACTTTGATGAAATGTCGTTGAAGGTGAGATTCAAGGTCAAATCCAAGGTCAATATTGGAATCTTTGTTAAAAATTATCAAAGACCTTGCTATATAAATAATTGTGTTATTTTTTTGAAATATTTCCCTAGCCTTACAGAATTGACCTTCATTTGACCTTCGGAAATGTCGTTAGTCTTAGACTCGATAAGTGATCGGACTTTGAGCTTATTCTATTGCCGGTATCAAAAAGAGGAGTATCCACTTAAAGAACAACAGTAGACTTTGAAATAACCTTAAAGGTGTGGCTCAAGGTCAAATCTAAGGTCAATATTAAAATCTTTATTAAAACTTACTAAAAACTTGACCATGACATTTTTCATCAATATTCCTGCTACATTTATGGGAACTTTCGCTAGGCTCACAGAATGGACCTTCATTTGACCTTTAGAGATGACCTTGGATTTAAATTCAAGACATGATCGGATTTCCCCTCCATTCTATTGCCAAAAAGAGGCTCATCACTTAAAAACAAAAGTAGACTCCGAAATGACCTTGACAGTAAGGTTCAAGGTCAAATCCAAGGTCAATGTTGGAATCTTTGTTAAAAATTATCAAAGACCTTGCTATATAAATAATTGTGTTATTTTTTTGAAATATTTCCCTAGCCTTACAGAATTGACCTTCGGAAATGTCGTTAGTCTTAGACTCGATACGTGATCGGACTTTGAGTTTATTCTATTGCCGGTGTCAAAAAGAGGAGTATCCACTTAAAAAACAACAGTAGACTTTGAAATAACCTTAAAGGTGTGGCTCAAGGTCAAATCCAAGGTCAATATTAAAATCTTTATTAAAACTTACTAAAAACTTGATCATGACATTTTTCATCAATATTCCTGCTACATTTATGGGCTCACAGAATGAACCTTCATTTGACCTTTAGAGATGACCTTGATCTTGGATTCAACACACGTTCGGATTTTCCGTTCATTTTATTTTCAGTGTCAAAAAGCGGGCTTTGCACTTAAAAAACAAAAGTAGATTTTGAAATGACCTTTGAGGTAAGGCTCAAGGTCAAATCCAAGGTCAAGATTGGAATCCTTGTTAAAAATAACTATAGATCCTACCTTGATTTTTTTCTTCAATACATCTGCCAATTTTTCTAAAATTGCCTCTAGGCTCACAGAATTGACATTCATTTGACCTTTGGAGATGACCTTGATCTTAGATTTCAATACATCATCGGATTTTTTGTTCATTGTATTGCTGGTGTTAGAAAACGGGCTTTGCACTTAAAAGCAAAAGTACACCTTGAAGGTGAGGCTCAAGGTCAATATTGAAATCCTTGTTAAAAATTACTAAAGATCTCTCTTTGATTTTTTCTTCAATAATGCTGCTAATTTAACTAAAATTTTCCGTAGGCTCGTAGAATTGACCTTAATTTGACTTATGGAGATGACATTGATCTTAGATTTCAATGCATGATCGGTTTTTTTGTTCATCCTATTGCTAGTGTTAAACAAAAAAAGTAGACCTTGAAGATTATGCTAAAGGTCAACTCCAAGGTCAATATTGGAATCTCTGTTGAAAATTATTGAAGGTCTAGACTTTGATGAAATGTCGTTGAAGGTGAGATTCAAAGTCAAATCCAAGGTCAATATTGGAATCTTTGTTAAAAATTATCAAAGACCTTGCTATATAAATAATTGTGTTATTTTTTGAAATATCTCCCTAGCCTTACAGAATTGACCTTCATTTGGTCTTCGGAAATGTCGTTAGTCTTAGACTCGATACGTGATCGGACTTTGAGCTTATTCTATTGCCGGTGTCAAAAAGAGGAGTATCCACTTAAAAAACAACAGTAGACTTTGAAATAACCTTAAAGGTGTGGCTCAAGGTCAAATCCAAGATCAATATTAAAATCTTTATTAAAATTTACTAAAATCTTGACCATGATATTTTTCATCAATATTCCTGCTACATTTATGGGAACTTTCCCTAGGCTCACAGAATGGACCTTCATTTGACCTTTAGAGATGACCTTGATCTTGGTTTCAACACACGTTCGGATTTTCCGTTTTCTATCTTCAGTGTCAAAAAGGGGGCTTTGCACTTAAAAAACAAAAGTAGATTTTGAAATGACCTTTGAGGTAAGGTTCACGATCAAATCCAAGGTCAAGATTGGAATCCTTGTTAAAAATAACTAAAGATCCTACCTTGATTTTTTCTTCAATACACACACCAATTTTTCTAAAATTGCCCCTAGGCTCACAGAATTTCAATTCATTTGACCTTTGGAGGTGACCTTGATCTTAGATTTCAATACATCATCGGATTTTTTGTTCATTCTATTCCTAGTGTTAGAAAACGGGCTTTGCACTTAAAAGCAAAAGTACACCTTGAAGGTGAGGCTCAAGGTCAATATTGAAATCCTTGTTTAAAATTACTAAAGATCTCTCTTTGATTTTTTCTTCAATAATGCTGCTAATTTAACTAAAATTTTCCGTAGGCTCGTAGAATTGACCTTAATTTGACTTTTGGAGATGACATTAATCTTAGATTTCAATGCATGATCGGTTTTTTTGTTCATCCTATTGCTAGTGTTAAACAAAAAAAAGTAGACCTTGAAGATTATGCTAAAGGTCAATTTCAAGGTCAATATTGGAATATCTGTTGAAAATTATTGAAGGTCTAAACTTGATCTTTTCATCATTCATCCAGCTGAACTTCTAGAAAGCCTCCGTCACACATTTCGTCTTTAGCAGTTGACCTTGATCTTAGGATCAAGATCTACATCTTAATATATATTTGCACGTAAAATTTTCTCTTCTTCTTTCGATTGTTGACGACACTTGAAAAACAAAAACTTACCTTGACATAATCTTGAAGATGAGGCTAAAGGTCACTTCCAAGGTCACACTTGATCAAAGACTTGACCTCGCCTTTTAGGAAAAAAATATAGACTTCCCGTTATAAACGATGTTCTCAATTCACATAAGTTTCTCAAAATCACCAATTCGTCGTTCATAGGAAACAAGAAGATGACGACGAAACTGAAAAGAAGCCCAAAAGGAATCAACGATTCAGCAGGTCGGGTTCGATCAGAGCATCGGTCAGAGGCGAGGTCCTGAGGTCAAGCATGATCAACAGGTCGTCGATACGATCCAGGAAATCGGTCTGCGTACCAGAAAACCAAGTGTGCTGACAAGCTGAGAGTCAGAAGGCTTCTTTTTAGAATAAGTCGAGGCTATGGTAAACGATGTCCAACTGTAATCGTTGTAATTGTAAAAGGATCGATGCTGATCTTTATCCATCTTGACCTATTCGCGAAAAGGAAGCTGAACAACTCGAAAAAGTATTTGTGCTGTGATTTTTAGGACGTATTATCGTAATTTTATTATTCGACTTTTTTTAGTTTACTTTTGTATCTATTGTGTACAGGATGTTTCAGATTCTAGTGGAAACATTTCAGCCTTGAGACTTGAATCCTATGACTATAGTTGATCGAAATTATACAGGGTGTCCCAGAATATACGAGTCAAATCTTGGATTCATTTTTTGCCAGATTTATTTTTTGTTATTTATACAGGTGGGAAAAAATAAGGATCCAAATGACACTGGTAAGTTTATAGCGATTATATAAAATATCTCAGTAAAAAATGGTCGTCTCTAGGTTCTAAGAAAAACATTTTGAAGTGGAAAACGGTTTTTTCTAGTTTTTTGTAAAATTTCACAATTTTTACCATTTTCATAAGATAAATGAAATGAGGAAGAGGATCGAAAAAATGTTTTCAATTCTGAAGCTTTTAGTAGCAATAAACACGATCCTTTAATTTTTCGAAATTTTGATAGTTCACAATAAAAAAACGTCAACATTAGTCCTTTAGTCAGAATTTGAATTTCAGCCGTTGGTTTTCAAAAAGCCATAAATAATTGTCCCGTTTTTACCTGTTTCTTTTTCCAGCCTATTTAAAGAACGAAAAATTTTGATTTCGTGAATGATCATTGATCTTTTTAGAGAATCCAATCCAGCTGAAGATCAAGGCCAAAAAGGTCGATATCTCAAACAAAAAAAGGACATATCGAAGTTTCTATTTTTTTTTTAATGGAAAACGATTTTTCTAAATACGTAGACCTACTTAAAAAAATTAAAAAATCCAATTTTTTGCTACTTGAAAATATTTTTGATCAAAAGATGCAAAAACCAAAGATTTAAACCTTCTTTTCACCATTTCAATTACTAAAAATTTACGATTTTTATTTGATCCTTTAATCAATTATGAAGCATTTAGGAACAATAAGCGCGATCCTTTGGTTTTTTCGAAATTTTTAAGGTTCACAATAAAAAATGTTTGGATAGATCAAAGTGGAAAACAATGTTATTTTTAGTTTTTTCCCAAAATTTCGCAAGATCGAAAAAAATGTTTTCAATTTTGAAGCTTTTAGTAGCAATAAACGCGATCCTTTAATTTTTCGAAATATTGATAGTTCACAATAAAGAAACGTCAACATTAGTCCTTTAGTCAGAATTTGAATTTCAGCCCTTGGTTTTCAAAAAGCCATAAATAATTGTCCCGTTTTTACCTGTTTCTTTTTCCAGCCTATTTAAAGAACGAAAAATTTTGATTTCATAAATGATTATTGATCTTTTTAGAGAATCCAATCCAGCTGAAGATCAAGGCCAAAAAGGTCGATATCTCAAACAAAAAAAGGACATATCGAAGTTTCTATTTTTTTTTAATGGAAAACGGATTTTTCTACATAAAAAAATTAAAAAATGCGATTTTTTGCAACTTGAAAATATTTTTGATCAAAAGATGCAAAAACTAAAGATTTGACCATTTTTTCACCATTTCAATTACTAAAAATTTACGATTTTTATTTGATCCCTTAATCAATTTTGAAGCATTTAGGAACAATAAGCGCGATCCTTTGGTTTTTTCGAAATTTTTAAGGTTCACAATAAAAAATGTTTGGATAAATCAAAGTGGAAAACAATGTTATTTTTAGTTTTTTCCAATATTTCACAAGATCGAAAAAAATGTTTTCAATTTTGAAGCTTTTAGTAGCAATAAACGCGATCCTTTAATTTTTCGAAATATTGATAGTTCACAATAAAGAAACGTCAACATTAGTCCTTTAGTCAGAATTTGAATTTCAGCCCTTGGTTTTCAAAAAGCCATAAATAATTGTCCCGTTTTTACCTGTTTCTTTTTCCAGCCTATTTAAAGAACGAAAAATTTTGATTTCATAAATGATTATTGATCTTTTTAGAGAATCCAATCCAGCTGAAGATCAAGGCCAAAAAGGTCGATATCTCAAACAAAAAAAGGACATATCGAAGTTTCTATTTTTTTTTAATGGAAAACGGATTTTTCTACATAAAAAAATTAAAAAATGCGATTTTTTGCAACTTGAAAATATTTTTGATCAAAAGATGCAAAAACTAAAGATTTGACCATTTTTTCACCATTTCAATTACTAAAAATTTACGATTTTTATTTGATCCCTTAATCAATTTTGAAGCATTTAGGAACAATAAGCGCGATCCTTTGGTTTTTTCGAAATTTTTAAGGTTCACAATAAAAAATGTTTGGATAAATCAAAGTGGAAAACAATGTTATTTTTAGTTTTTTCCAATATTTCACAAGATCGAAAAAAATGTTTTCAATTTTGAAGCTTTTAGTAGCAATAAACACGATCCTTTAATTTTTCGAAATTTTGATAGTTCACAATATAAAAAACATCAACATTAGTCCTTTAGTCAGAATTTTAATTTCAGCCCTTGGTTTTCAAAAAGCCATAAATAATTGTCCCGTTTTTACCTGTTTCTTTTTCCAGCCTGTTTAAAGAACGAAAAATTTTGATTTCGTAAATGATCATTGATCTTTTTAGATAATCCATTCCAGCTGAAGACCAAGGCCAAAAGGCTCGTTTTTCATAAAAAAACTCAAGCCAAAAAAAGGACATATCGAAGTTTTTAATTTTTTTTAATGGAAAACGATTTTTCTAAATACGTGGACCTACATAAAAAAATGTAATTTTTTGCAACTTGAAAACATTTTTGATCAAAAGATGCAAAAACTAAAGATTTGAACCTTTTTTTCACCATTTCAATTACTAAAAATTTACGATTTTTATTTGATCCCTTAATCAAAGTATGTAACCAGCATTTCTTTTGGATACCCTGTACACGTAACAATGAACTTTGGCGAAATGGTCAAACCACAAAAAAATAGTGAAGACATGGAATTTTCTTCTTTTTTAAAAAGATATGGTCCCGTAAAAAGTATTAACGTATAAACTAGTAACATGGTGTCTAACCAATGTGTGTGATGTGTGAAGAGTTGCCATAGCGTGGCTATATACGAGGACGGTCCGATAAGTACTCGACCTACAAAAGAAAAACGAACATTTTTTAAAAGTGGCCATTTAATTCTCAACACAGTCACCTTTTAGCTCAATACTAATAACTCCTTCCGTCTGAAAAATACGTTTTCTGGAGGTGAACGCTATCGGAACGTCCTCGTAATTATGAAATTTTTGTAGCGATGTTTTAACTTTATGTGTACTATTTGTGCTTTTAGGAAATACGTAGGGAAGCTATTTTTATATGAGTGTTTTTAAAACGAAGTTTGAGAGGAACGCACAATTTCGTAAAAAGAAAATTGTATATATGAGAGATGATGAAGTATTAAAATTTTATGGAATTCAGCGAGCATTTTATTTAAACTATCGGTGCATCCCCAATTCTTTCAAATTTAATTCGAAAAAAGTACATCCAAAATAACAAAAATAACTTTTATAAACATATATCCTAAAATGGTGAAGTACTGAAAAAGGAATTTTAGTAATATGATTCACTTATTAATATTTTTTTTTCGTTTGAGAAAATATGATAACGGAGGTTATGAATTTATCAATAGCCTTTAAATCATTTATTTGAGCTCCTGCAACTAATTTTGTCATTGTTGAAACTGTTGTATAATTGAGAATCACTGTCCAGATCATCTATGTAAAAAATAATAAGGAGCGGTCCAAGCAATGTTCCTTGGGGCACTCCCGAAGACATTAAAGATTCTGGTGACGAGTTCGTGTCACCAACAAATTTTTTAGATCCGTTTCTTATGCAGTTATTGGTCATACCAACTGAAGAGTCAAAAAAACCGTAATCGAATATCGCTAATAAAAATTAATGATTTGTCGTGTCAAAATCAAAGCTTTATGATGTTATCTGTCAAATTTCGGACATCAGGTGCCTAAAACAAAAATGAAATCAAAATCCATCACGTAACACGACCTTCGTAGATGGGGGATGACGTTAAAAATACACTCTAACGATATATTTGATCTAAAAGTCTATTTATTTCTCAACAAGCTGATTAAATTCAACAAAAAGTAACGACTAGCTACTGCTTAGCTTCGGCATCCGAAGAATTAGCAGCCGCAGAACCGAATTCTCCAGCTTCTACTCTGATATTTTCTTCGAATTCCGCCGGATCGACGAGCTTCTTATTTTCGAACGGTGGCGGACCGAGCAACTGAACTATGTCGTTGTAGTTCAACGTTTCTTTCTTAAGCAACGTTTCCGCCATCTTAAAATAAAAAATGACACCGTAACAACTCACAAACAATTTCAACTCAACGGCAAATATTGCTGCTTGTATCGTTAACAAAGAGCAAAAAATCAACGGTCCAAAATTCGAACCCTGTGGCACCCCTGAAAAAGCTGTCTCAAAATATGGACCATAGTAAAGAGAGGATGCGACATGGACCTAACAAGGCGGACAAGATGTATTTTAAAGTTTTACGGTCTTTTAGGTCTGAAAAAATAGTTATTCGGTTAAATCACATACAAAATATTTTTACACCCAGGCAATAAAAAAGAATCTATTTACCAGTTCCAGTTTGTCTTTGTTATGCTTGATAATCTCTTCAGTTCTTTTGTAAGCGTCGGCGACAAGTCTCCTAACTTCCAAATCTATCAGATTCGATAAAGTTTTGCTGTACGGTCTTCTGCCTAGCTCTTTTTCCTAAAACGTGAATAATTCAGATCGAAAAAATCGCTGCAAAGGTACAAGAATATGTCAACATCCATTTCAAAATATTTAAAAACAGCTATCTAGACAATTTCTCAACTTTCTTTAGCTCTAGTTTTTTTTTTTATAAAAGGAGAGCTAACCTCTGATTCTGGAAAAGAAATGAGTCCCACTTTCTGGCTCATCCCGAATTCTTTAACCTGAGCATACGCCATCTTAGTGACTTTCTCCAAGTCGTTTTGAGCTCCAGTCGTGACCTTGTTGAAGGTCAACGATTCTGCGACCCTACCGCCTAGAGTCATGCACATTCTATCGAATAACTGGAACGAAATATCAAAATTCAGGTAAAACTAGACAAAATAATGAAGCCGCTTCTACGTTTGTCTATACGTGTCCATGACATACTTGTACCTTACCTCTTCTTTGGTGTACAGTTTCTGATCCTTAGGCACATACTGCGCGAATCCGAGAGCCAAACTTGTCCTCGGCACAATTGTGACCTTCAGCAAAGCATCGGTATATGGCAATAACCATCCGACGATAGCGTGACCCGACTCGTGATAGGCAACTATCCGTTTTTCTTGAGGCGACATCGCGTGAGAACGCTTTTCCGTGCCACCTAAAGGAGAAAGAAAGACACATTTCAAGTACCGTCCTGTCAACCGTCGCTTGTTTTGCTCGTAAATATTGTCGAAGTTCGATTCATCACCGCAAGTTTGCTTCTCCACATCGGCGTTGCTGCAAACGGCTCTTGTACGATATAAACAAACATATGCGCGTCAAGATGGAAACATTCAGGAAAAGGACCAGAAAATATTAGCGTAGCACATTCATGACATTTACCATAAACTACCGATAAATCCAAAGCTTCGTTATTGCTAAGGGAATGGCCAATTCAGTTATTTTCAGGGCTTAATTTCTCGGTTCTGATTATGTCCAGAGAAAAAATTGTATTATTACGTAACTGTACGCGGTCTAAGTAAAGTCCGAAGTTTCTCTATATTTTTACTTACCGACTAATCTTTCGACGGCATATTCCAAATCGTCCCTAGTAACTTTTTTCTTCTTGAGCCTTGCAGCGTGCAAAGCTGCCTCGTTGCAAACGTTCGCGATGTCAGCGCCGCTGAATCCGGGCGTCAGGTACGCCAGCCGTTTCGAGTATTTTTCAGGAGGATGTTCCAACTTGATGCCTTTGAGATGCTGCTCGAAGATCTGTTGTCTTTCTACCAGGTCCGGGTAGTCGATCAGGATGTGACGGTCGAACCGCCCCGGGCGCAACAAGGCCTGAAAAAATGGCGTCGAGTAGGTGGACTCTGCAACGCGCGAACTATATGTATCATATCAGTTCGAAGCAAAAAATTTACGGTAAAAAAGTAGATTGACTCTATACTTCACCACAAGTTAGGCCGTATTGAAATATTCTGGATAGTTGCTATGTTTACGTTCGTTGCCCCAGAGACCAAGCCTAGACCATGCTGATGAATTGCCAAAAAAGCACTGAACAGCTGTCTGTGGTTTGCTGCTTTTTTACGATAATTGAATTTTTTGTTGATATCTTAATTTTTATATTAATTCAATTTATTAGTCATACTTGATTGCAGTGCACTTGGAAATTATTTTCTACATTTCAATTTGATTTCCTATTAAAGCGTGCTTTTAGTTTTTTAAATATAATTTAATTTCTGAATTTTTACTCTCAAAACGGCAACAAAAGTAGTTGATCAAAATGTTTTTTCAAAAATTCCAAATGTTATTTCCAATTCAAATGTGTAAAGATTTCCAATTTTTTTCAGATTTCGAAATCCACATTTCTTTTCAAATTTGAAGTTTGCTAAATTCCTTTTCTCCAACATTATTGTATTGCCATCCGACTTTAATCACTGTGCAAATTTTCATGTTAATCGGACTTCATGAAATTGGTAAAAATTAGGTTAAAGATTCCGTTGTATAGACGCTTTTTTAATTAAAATTTATTTTCTGAATGTTTAGTCTCAAGCAACTAAAATACTTGATACAAAATTCTATTCAAAATTTCCAAATTTTATTCTCAATTCAAAAATGTCCAATTTTTTCCAAAATTTCCAATTTTTTTTCAAAATTTCAATTTTTTCAAAACTTCCAAATCTCCAAATTATTTTCCAAATTTTCCACTCATTTTCCAAATTTTCAAATCCACATTTCTTTCCAAATTTCAAATTTTTTAAAAAATTTCAAGTTCGATTTTTTCCAAGATTATTATAGTCATCCACCCCTGACCCTTGTGCAAAATTTTATCTTAATCAGACTTCCTGAAATTGGTGAGAAATAGGTTAAAGGATTCCGTTGTACAGACGCTTTTTTAATTACCTATAATTTATTTTCTGAGTTTTTAGTCTCAAACGACAACTAAAGTACTTGATTCAGTATTTTATTCAAAATTTCCAAATTTTATTCCCAATGTAAATTCCCTTCCAAATTTCAGAATTTCCAAAGGTTTTCCAAAATTTTAATTTTTTCAAATTTCGAAATTTCAATAATTTTTCTTAATTGCCATTTTTGAAAATTTCCAAACCTCAAAATTATTTTCAAAATTTTAGAATTTTCCAAATTTTCAAATCCACAGTTCTTTCAAAATTTCAACATTTTTTAAAATGTTCAAATTCGATTTTTTCCACGATTATCGTATTGTCCTAGACCCAAAAATTTTCAGTGACGAATTTTTTCAAATTTTTCCAAACCTCTAAATCTTCGACCAAATTATAACAAAGTCTCTTACGTTATCCAATATGTCAGCCCTGTTGGTAGAAGCAAGCATAATGACGCCTTCTTTGCTAGCCATACCGTCCATTTCGACCAGCAATTGGTTCAAAGTTTGTTCCCCTTCGCCGCTGGCACCCCCTTCCATACCGCCCAGCTGTCCGCTGCGTTTTCTGCCAACCGCGTCGATTTCGTCGATGTAGACGATGCAAGGGGCGCGTTTTCGTGCTTCTTTAAACAAATCCCTTGAAAAACAAACAAAAAATTTCGCATTTACCGAGCGTTGAGGATACTTTATCCTGTATAAACCACAAAGAAAAACTGAAAAACTAGGTAGATAGCAAGAATATATTTGGATCACAAATTGCTTCTGTCGCAAAATTTGGTACTCTAGCTGTAACAAGGTTGTAAAATTTTTTCGATAAATTGTAAAGTATCTCAACAGTTTGAAAATAAAATTATACTGCGTCATTTCAGATTAATTTGGAAGTGCCTATCCTAATCTGCAATAAAAATCACCATGTAGTGATGAAATTATTTTCCAAGCAAAAAGCTATAATTTTTGTAATCAATCTTTTTAGATACCACGGAGTTATGAATCGAGCCTTCACTGAAAACTGGAATTCAAAAAAAATTATTTACCTAACTCTAGCAGCACCCAAGCCTCCGATCATTTCTATGAATTCAGACCCGTTCATAGACAAAAAAGGCACATTAGCTTCAGTGGCTACAGCTTTAGCGAGAAGCGTTTTACCGCATCCTGGGGGGCCCAGCAACAAGGCACCTAAAAAAAGAAATCTATCTCAAAAATATGTAATCAATTATTTGGAATCCTAAATCTGAAAAAAAATCGTTTACCTTTCGGGACCTTGGCACCGAGCATCTTGTAGCGTTCGGGCTTCTTGAGATAGTCAACAAACTCCATAACTTCTAGTTTTGCTTCCCTTAAGCCGGCAACATCCGAGAAGTGCACACCTTTGCCTGGCCCAGTCAGCGGGTCAATCAGCGTAAATTTAGCCCTTCCTAGCTGAGTCTACAAAATGAACATGAAAACAAAATAAGCTATTTTTCTTAGTTCATATACTTACAAAAGTATCCATACTAAGAGGAGGCCTGATACTTTTGCTTCTAGCAAGTAACGATATAAGAAAAGCAGCAACAAGCAAGGAAATGAGCAACTTCCCTGCAGTGTCAGTGCTTCTCTCATAGATAACGGGCACGCCATCTCTAATGCCCAGTCTACGTTCGGCTTCCCTTAGTTTGTCTTCAAATTTATTCATATCGACCACGTTCATGTGGTAAGTCCTCGTTTCTACCTACAAAATTCCTGAATCGGAAAAGGGACTAGCTAATTACGCGTATGTTTTACCTTTTTACCCTTTATCACAGCTCCTTCATGAAGAATGATAGTCACAATCTCAATATCAGGCCTAACTATGATCTGTTCTACCTCTCCCTTGGCTAACATTTGATAAAGGAATTCATTCCAAGAGACATAACGTATGACCTACAAGAAACCATTTATCAGCAATTTATAATGAAAAATACTTGGACAACGGACAACTACTCATATATACACCATAGTTACATGGACACATTCCTGAACCGATTTAAGTAGAAAACTCCACAAAATCGGCATCTTCGAGATATTAACAAAAACCAAGTTCTGTTTAAACTCTGACATCGTAGCTTGAAAACTAATCTACTTGTAGCAAAACACCCTCGTATTACAGACCATCATTACAAGTAACAACCTGTATTATGGAATACCTTTTAGTAAAGAAATATATTACCAACTACTGCTTATTTACCTCTGGTTGACTGCTGCTTGGGAACATCAAAGATATCATCGCTATAACAACATACGCAGTTAACATCCAAAGAAAAGCTTTCGCCAACAATGATGATATCTTATCTTTGTCTTCGTCGTCGTTTTTCCGTCCGTTCGGTCCTCCGCCAGGCTTTGGGGGCTCCTGACAGCATGGGGTGCTAGTATGAAAGCTTCTTGTGTTCAAAGCACTGCATACTTGATCAATATTTCTTAGTCCTGATCTGCGTAATAGAGACTGTACTGCCGCGTATTCTTTGTTTAAGGCTTTCAAAGACTGAAACGTAAGGCGTTTTAAATACTTTAACGTATAATCACGCGTTCGTTACCTTAGAATTCAATAGTGTTTGATGATTGAGAGCACCCCGGTGACTGAAACTTTTGAATTCGGATTTGAGGTGCCGAGTGCACCTGAATAAATTGTATACATGTTTTAGCGGCGAAGCGACTGTCCTTACATTTGTATTCATGAGTTGAAATATGCTATATTGCAGTTTAAAATTAATTTATTTTTAAAATTCAAAAATAGTCATAACCTTCAATAAACATATGACAGATGACACAGTACATACGTCAACTAGCGTGACGCGATCCGTAAATTTAAGTAGGTAAAAATTCGGCACTAGTACTAGAGTCTAAGAGACTATCCGTAGCTAAGCTTTTCTCGAAATCGTTGCACAACACTTAAAATAATGTGAATTAAATTGGAAAACTACCGCCTTGACGTTCTAAATGACTCCGTCACTACCCCGGGTTAGACATATGTTTTGAAAGTTGACGTTGTCATTCTTGTTATCTAGATTGCGGCGCTGCCAGCTCCTCGGACGATTTTGTTAGAATGATAGAAATATCAGCCATTTCTTCCTGAAAGTCTGTTACTCACTTTGCAAGATATAGAAATCTGTCTTACACGCAAATATTAGGCAATCATTTTGAGGAAGCTAAAAATGGACAGCTGAAGCATTTGAGCTTGAATACTAATTATAACTCGTCGATCATTATATGCGCAATTTATTTAAAAAAACGTAGGATGTCAACCCTAATACACATGTAGATGAGTATGCAAGACTTATCTACTTTGTTGCACAGATATCCTGTTTCCCTCAGAAGAGTTGGAGACACTTGACACCAACGTCACAACACTAAAACACCACTGAGAGACAATCGAGAACCCTATAGTGAATACCACTACTGTAAAAAGTAGCTAAACCGAATAGAGCTCTTCACGGTGCTGTGGACGCGTCGACATTCTGCTGCGGCGACGGTTGCCGAGAGACTGAAGCGTGTCAGTACTGTACCTCGCTGCGGCGAGACGGTACGCACGGGTAGTACAGCCACGCCCCTTTCCAGCTCCCACTCCGCGCTTCTGCTCCCGATCAACGAAAACGTCAAGTCGCTTCGTGAAACTGTTCAGTGTTCAGAGACATTAACGTTACGCCGCATAGACGCCAGGCGACGCAAAATGTAAATAACAGCTTGTTTTTTTAGTTTTTTGTCAAACATTGCTACGCCTCAAATTTTATATATTTCCATTGGTATCCTCAATATTTTTTTTATTCAGTTTTTATAATTCTAGCAAAATTGTCCGATGAGCTGGCAACGCCGCAATCTAGGTGACAAGGTCAACTGCCAAAACGCATGTCTATCCCGGGGTAATGACGGAGTCATTTAGTACGTCAAAGCGACAGTTTTCCAATCTTTATCAGCATTTTTTGAGCGTTGTGCAGCGATTTCAAAAAAAATCGCTACAGATAGTCTTCTAGAGTCTAGCAGAGCATATTTCAATAGTTGTCTTGCGTGGCCATGTTATCTTTACTCGTGCCAGAATTGCACTACAATTACAATGATTACACCTTACACCAGTCACGCCTATAAAAGCGTTAGTCGAAAACAGCACGGGGATACCTGTTCAGAAAGAAAAACGTAACTACAGATTTCATATTCAGATTATGCTATGGTTCCTCATTTCACCCACAGTTGTCTCTAGGTCGACAATAGTGACGACACCTACTGGGAATCGATTGAACCAGACTTCCTTATTCATTTTTGACTGAAACATAATCTTAAAGGGACTAGACCATCTCTTCTCGATACGAAACGAGTAAAGGATTATTTGCAAGCAGCATTACCAAACTTACCTGTTAAGAAAAAACAAATGTAACTAATATTTATACAGATTTCATATTCAGATTATACTATGTTTTCACGTCTCACGCACAGATGTCTCTAGATCAAGAGCCGTTGCAACGTCATCTACTGGAAAGAAATTTAACCAGATTTTACCTATTCAATTTTGTCATATTCCTAAAGGGACTAGACAATCCCTTCTCGATACGAAACGAGTCAAAGGATTATTTGCAAGCAGCGTTTTACTAAACTTGCTTATTAAGAAATAACAAATGTAACTAATTTTTATACAGATTTCATATACAGATTACACTATTTTTTTCTGCGTTTCACGCACAGATGTCTCTAGAGCAAGAGCCATTGCAGCGTCATCTACTGGAAAGTAATTTAACCAGATTTACTATTCAATTTTGACATATTCCTAAAGGGACTAGACAATCTCTTCTCGATACGAAACGAGTCAAATGATTATTTGCAAGCAACGTTCTACCAAACTTGCCTGTTAAGAAATAACAAATGTAACTAATGTTTATACAGATTATACTATTTTTTCCGCGTTTCACGCACAGATGTCTCTTTATCAAGAGCGGTGGCGACATCTACTGGAAATTAATTTAACCAAATTCCCCTATTCAATTTGACATCTGCTTAAAGGGACAAGACAATCTTTTCTCGATACGAAACGAGTCGAAGGATTATCTGACATACAAAACAAAAAGAATGATAATAGTCCTAGTCTATTAAACAGACGCTTCCTGAAAACTTACTTTATTGTACAAAAGAGAAAATATAACCGCATACAAAACAAGGCAAATAAATACAATACAACTGAGACGAAATCACAGACAGAGGTGTGTTTGTTCATAAAAAGGAATCTCTTATTTCCTTCAAAAACTATAATGCTGTCCATCCCGCCTTTTGTCTTCTATCCGGCATCTTTGTATGAAATTCCTAGAAAAACACGTGATTTTATTAGAGATAAAACAAGCTTGATGTTGAAAGCTCACTGTAACATTTGCGGTACTTTTTTGTCTCTGGGAATTCCAACGTGGTAATATCCTAGAGCGGGGAATAACGTGAAACTCACGCTACCTTGGGTTTCCTTGTTTCTCCGAGTCCTAGCCACGTGATATAACTGAAAAAATGATCAACAAAAAAGGTTTTATATACAGTATGCTACCACCGATACTACATATACTTCAACGCAAGTATAGTTGTAGTCACCGGTCTTGGCGGTTACGTCATCAACGACATATGAAATAAGTAATCAGATCAAGTCTTATGAAGTTCCATTTATCCAAACGTTAACGTGGTCTTATTTGGTACAGGTACCTTAGTCACTGTACAGTGTCGAATTACAAGTCCTATACGTGCAACAATAATTACACACAACGCGGGCCCGGTGGTGATTTCCCGTAATTCTCCTCAAAGTTTTTGAAAACACAAAATAACGTAAGAAATAGTAATTTATAACTTTGAAAGGACAACATATATATAACTCGTCGGGCACAGCTAATAGATATACTTCATTGATAGCATATGAAATAATGATTTTCTCACACAGCGGATATCACTGATTTTATACACATGCAGACCAATACACATAATCTTCCAGGTGCCATCTTGTTATTCAACCAACTTTCTTCTCAGAGATGAAAACTACAGACTACACACAAAACATATGCAACCAACAATGCATGTAGTTGAGTCATTCCTCCATAGATGGAGTGACTGTTTGCACCCTAAAAACTACCTAGTATCCAAGATGATATTTTATAGGTTATAGGCAGACAAAAGCTAATCCTAGATCGAGAACATCAAACTCATCTACAGATCCACCGGAATAAAACAGAACAAAGTGCCATCTGTCACCAGAATCCATTAAGGCCAAAGTGCGACAGCACTACCCCTGCATAAAGCAATAAAACAGTGCGGGGCCACTTCAAGATCAAATGTCGATACCTTTAGAAGTTTGTATCATTACCTTAAATCCCAATCTCCAAGGAATGACGTCATCGTCTTCGGAATGCAACATCATAATCGGGCAGTCGACACTTAAAATGTTTTCGGTTGTTTTAAAGTGAAATCCATTTCTCTCTAGAGGGTCCAAGATAGTTGAGTTAAAGTACATTAGCCAGGAAAACAGCTGTAAAATATACAGAACGTTTCATTAGAATAATAAAATCGAATGTAACAAAAGTGGACCGTCATCAAATATGTCGTTCTCTCCGTTTTACGTGCATTGCGCTGAACAAAGACAAAGATCGCAACTTACTTTACCGAGCGGATTGCTCACGATCTCCTCTCTCATAGTAGTGAAAGCAGACTCCAAAATCAAACCGCTAGGCACCATACCATCCAACTCTTTCAGCTTTCTCAAGGTGTGCGTGCTCAGAGCTGTGCCCATAGAATGTCCCCAGAAGAAAATCTCGTTCGATGTCAACGTTCTGATCCATTTGAAGATCTGTCTGGTGTCGCTAACTATGCCTTGTTCGCACATTTGGACGTTCAGCCCGGAATCACCGTAGCCTGGATGAAAAACGAAGAAGTGGACTGAATCTCGGTTGCCCTTACGGGAATCTGATTACAATTTTCTGAGATACCATATGAGAAGCTGATTTTAACAATGTACCGTATAAAAAAGTGTTTCCTACGCCTTCGTTGCAGGTGTCAAAGAAAAGTCTGATCATTCAATGTTCCCGTTCTTACCGGGATCAGAAGCTTCTTAATGATGACATACTGAACTCACCTCTGTGGTCCATAGCTACAACCAAAAACTCCTTTCTGGCGACCGTGTATGCCTCGTTGGGCAGAATCCTGTTGCACGCTACGCCGTGCATATATATCAGTATCGGCTTGACTGTATTTCGTATAATCTTAGCAGCTGTGCTGATGTCGTGCGGCCTAAGAGCATGTTTCTCCTTTTCGTCGTCTGGTACTATCAGCCAAGTTCCGATGCTTACCTCCGTGCTCCCGTCCGTGTCAACTAAGCGGATATGGAAATTCACCACGCCGTCTATGTCGTACTTTTCGGGCTGATCGAACTCGGGGTGCTTCGGTTGATCCACTGAAAATAGTACATTACGTACCTAGGTCGAAAAGTTTGTATCATAAAAATGCGGTAATGCTTCTAGATTAGAAGGTACACTCAAAAGCATCTACAAACAAAGGTCCTAAGATGTATTATTACTAAGATACATAGCATTGTAAATATCTGACTGATGACGCTGAATAAGTATAGAACCCGAATCAGTTTTTCTCCCAAAGTAGTTTGCCGACAACTCCTCGAGACAGGAGATTCGTACTGAATTGTAAGCTGTCTACCAACCAGTCAGAAGGTGAACACCAATGCGGTCAGTCGTCAGTTGTTAAAAAAGTCGACGAGGTAGCAACGCGTTGTTCCCTTACAAATAAGAATTGTAAAAATGTACAAATGTAAAAGTTCTCCACAATAAAATTACAAAAAAATCAAGAGTACAGTCCACTATGCTCGAATGGACAGTCCGTAACCTCAACAAATAACTTCTTCAAAAATGCAACGGACGTGTAGAAAATAATGTTCTTTCTTCTGGAATGGACAAAATATCCCTATTTCTACGCTGCTGGTATAGTTTTAGGGCAGATACTTTTTGTATATTGTGACGATAAATAGCGCCATCTGTTGGGAGAGTCTCCTACTCGCTTGGCGGCGTCTGTGAGGACCGCGTGGCAGTGACTCACCTTCTAGATCGACGCGAAGTGACCTCCAATATTGTAGATGTCGCTTTGTGGTTCACCAGACCTTTCTCGAAGCAGCGATGGGGACTATATATGACTCCGCGGCCGCGAGATGGAAGCAGAGAGTACAGAGCAGAGCGGAGTGGAGTATAGTGCAGTCAATGGCGACATAAGAATTAGTCAGTCGTAAATAGTGGTGTATATAAATGTTTTATCAAGGTAAATAAATTTGTGCAGTTCTTTTTGTGGAATCCAGTGTTTTAATCCACACTCAAAAGAACCCAGAAAATCGCTACAATATGTTGAGTAGTCAGTACTAAGTGCACAAAACTTGAAGTCAATTTCTCAATCCACTGTGAAATTATAATTGTTTTTCTACTTCGAAATTATATTTTTCGCCCTGTATCTTCGTAATAGTACATTTTAGATCTTATGTTTATGTGAACTGTTGGTGTTATTTTCGAACCATTTTTGTGAAAAGGGATTGCAACGTTGCTTACCTGGGAAAAACATAAAAGTCGTCTGCAACGACAGAGAATTCATGAAAACGAGAGGAAATACCACCCATATTACTAAGAAAATTAGGAATCCAAAAAACAATCTGAAACAAAAAAAAATACCACATGTTTTGTAGTGAGAGTCGGGGTCATAAAGTAGACTTCCGGAAATCGATATCAGTTCAATAAGTAAAATAAAAAGTACATTTTTCAAAACAAGCTTTTGTTTAGCTAATAGTAAAAGGAACTAAATTTTTTTAGGTATTGGAAATCTAACCAGCCTTCAAAGGAGACCAACCTGCTAAAATTTTCCCGGTGTCGAAGCCAGTTCTGGGTATCTCTTGAGTAATGGCATGATTAACATGATGTTGGTCGACAAACTGAAGCAATTTGGAAAGGCAGTTGTCAATATAGCTCTGACTACTTCACCACTCACTCTTCCCACGTAAGGTTGGGATACACACCCGAACAACTTGTAGATACTTTCTCTTGTTTCTAATTTATACGATATAATAGAACGAAAACTTCTACTGACAGTAAAGTAAGTGAGCAAACTTTTCCACGTTTCCAAAGTCAACGTGATATTATTTTGTGCTTATATTATACGTTAGTATTTGTCACGAGTGTCTAGTAACATTTCAAAATACCCTGCATCAGTAAGAGTCTCGCAACCATGTTAAAAACAAAGTCAAAACCAGAAACCGTGAGCTTGAAGTGATCATGTTGCATAATCTTACAATTACATGATGTTCCAGAACACAGTCGCTGCGTCCTTAGAAAATAATAAAAAGATACTCATCGATTTTTCCTGACAGGTGCAAATGAGTGGCAAATTGTTTTTTTAAGGTCACTACGCTTGAATTTGCCGCCGGAAGCAGTATTTGAAAATAAAAAGATACGAGGAAAATGCGAAATGAAGGCAATAAGCGAAAATTAATAATATCTGCAACATCTGTGATCCAGACGCAATTCCACCAATCAAAAAGAACGATTTGCCTCCTTAAATTCGTTTAAAAAAAGAAGGATTTGCGACGGGTTTGAAACATGTATCATGATATGATTGCCGTTATCGAGCATTTTATTGAAAATAACCGAGAGTGATAATTTTTATTTTTAGGCAACCTGTAAATCTGCAGAAAAAAAAAATTATCAGCTTTAAATATTAAAAAAGAGGAAGAAGATAAAATAAAACCCGGTAATGAATCACAACAGCAATGCGAAATTAATGAAAATACAGATAAACAGAGAGCAAAACCTTCTCAGGAAGCTATGAAAAATAAGATTGCTCCTAATCTTGAAAGCAATCAACATTCACTATTGAAAACAATCGCGGATATAACTTTATTTGGGAGTGCAGCAGATGATAGAAGACGAACGGAATCAATTCGCAGCGCAAAAACTCTTGATGAACTCACACAAGAATAACGTAAAATAGGATTTGACATTAGTCGCAGTGGGACATATCTTCGTTTGATTCCCAGAAAATCTAATTCTGCAGAGGGACGAAGACATGTATCGACAGTCCCTGTTAAGCTCATTCGGGCTCAAACCGATCACCACAAGAGCCACTTAGATAGCAAGTTCGCTGAAACATCAATCCATTATTTAGAGAACATAGCATCCATACTTGGACCAGATCAAGTCTTTTTCATATCTCAAGATGATAAATCTCGAGTCCCTGTTGGCGAAACTGCGGCAAGTAAGCAAGCACCTCGTCTAATGCACATGGAATATAGAATCAAATTGCCTGATCACGATTGGGTAATCGCTGAGCGTCATAAATTAGTACCATCTGCTTATGCTGGTATCAAAATCACTTCCAATATGCTAGGACAACCGCAAGCCGTTGGATATTCTGGACCAACATACATCGCTATTCGAAGTGGAAAGCATAGTTCATCTACTGCTAATACTCATGCTCAGGATTTCGAGACGCTTCTCGAACTTGAAGAGTTTCGACCATTAGCTAAAACTGACCATGGACTAGTAAAACCAGTGGCAATCATGACGGTTGGTGGAGGGCCAGTTGAAAATCCACGTTATCAAAAAGTCATAGGGCTATACAACACTTTAAGCGACATGATCTCGATGCATTGTTTTTAGCTACCAATGCTCCTGGAAGAAGTGCGTATAACAGAATAGAGCGCAGAATGGCTCCTCTTAGTCGGGAACTGGCTGGTTTAATGTTGCCTCATGACCATTTTGGGTCTCATTTGGATTTTCGGCGCTGGCTGCTTTGAAGACCAAATATCTATCGCAACTTGTTTCGACAATATTTGCTCGGCAAAGCAGGTCCAAGGGAGTCACTAATAATTATTATTATTTTTTACAATTAATATTATTGATTAAACTTATTTTTAATTTAGTATTGATAAATACAGTCCTGTTTATCCAGGAGTGCATTCTGCTGCGGGGTTGCCCAACGCATTATTAATCTTTTTCTTATTACTTGTCAATAAAATTTCGTGAAAATGTTACCGTTTCATTCTTGATGTAAGACTACCTCATTGTCAAAAAATCAAATTAAAGAACGTATTTTTTCAGGCTGTAACACTTCTACTGTCACCGAGTAGGTACATATTCTTAACAATAGATCAACATGTCCATTGAGGTTAGCTAACAAAAATATATTTTTTTTCTCTTTGTAGGTTAGTAACAGGTCAGTAAAATTGGATGCTCCACGTTTTGTTTTTCAGAAAACACGTAATATTCACAGCCGTGAGCCGGCAGCTTTTCCGGGATTCAGCTCCGTCTCTAATTAAACGGCACCGGTTGTTATTTAACAGAAAGATATTGCTGGTGTCAGGCGTGATATTTAAAGGGCTGCCGGGAGCGTTTTCCATTAAATAACAAACCAATCTGCTCCTTCACCCTTGCATGTAGCCACGTATCCCGGCAGTTTCGTAACGCGATTCAGTTTGTTATGTCGAATGTCTTTTTATGGTCTTGCAGACGATAAAGGCCTTTACCTTACGTAAGGTTAGTGAACCATGAAAGGTCAAGCTATTCCGTAGCTAGTATCATGCTTTTTTTATACCGAAAGCCTAAATGCCAGTGCCAATCCACATAATTCGATAGTACTGAGTTGTAATTTATGATAACTAGTTAGTGGTTAAATAAACTTTATTGTTAAAAAAAGTCCGATAAATATTACTTGTCTATGCACGTTGTTGTGACTAACAAAAGTTTATAAATAAACAAATAATAAATACTCACATTACAATAATCGAGATCACTACCACTTTTTCCCACAAAGGCCACTCTTTCATCGCCATCTCTTCTTTGTCGTCTTGAACTATGGAATAGCTCTTCTGCGGAAAGCACTTCTATAAAAAAACAACGAAATTGCAGTCGAATCGGTACCTGCGCGTTTTGAAACTATTAAGAATGTGTCACAAATAACATTTTTATTCTCGTACACTCCTTTTTCCAGCTGAATCAATAAAATTATCTATTTAATACGAAAAATGATACAAAAAATAATTACTTACAATTATGTTATAATAGACAACTGCAAGCAACAATCTAAAATGACACGTGCCTCAAACAGGTTCGGATTTAGAAAATATTTTTTTATTCCAAAAAATAGAGTATAATCCTACAGTTTTTTTTTGTGGTTTCGTTAAATTCTTGCTTCCTAACGATAGGCGCAATGATAGAATGAAGAAAGTTTTAGCTTTAGGTTGCCCTGTTTTGAAATCCCGTTCCAAATAAAGTAAGGAAAAAATAAAAATGATTTTGAGAAAATTCGGTTTCTTTTGTCTATCTCAGGAAATATTCTCGGTCACGAAACTTCTTAATTGCCATTTTCTTAGGCATAGCTATGAATGGATAGAGCCGAATTTAAAACAGACAGACAAAATTATACACAAACACTTACGTACTTACCATACACCCGGTCATTTTCGAGCTCAGTTTCAATATATACCTAAAACTCACACTTATCTATTTTCACACATATATAATAACATGTATATAATATTCTTATCTACACCTAGCTCAATTCGCGGATTTACGTAAACTACAAAAAAACGTTGAACATCACTAAAACGAAATGCAGCTTGAAGCTCGTTTTTCGTGGAACAAACGTACGCTATCGCTATCAGAATCTCTCTACCGAATCGGATGTTTTTTTGAGATAACTTGTTATCAGCGATATGTAGGTGTGAACATTAAGTGTTACACAGTTTTGTAATTCTTGAATTGTTTACTTTCATTCATCTTTTCAGTTTCAAGGTATTTCGGAAAGCTGGTTTTTCCACGTGTGCTTAAATATTGCACATCCTCGGCGTCTTCAGGTCGCTAGACCAAAGTCAAATAGATTAGGATTGTTATTACTTGTTTGTGTATATTTCGGAACCGTAGGATGAAGCTTAAATATCGGGACACCGCGTCTGCTATGTTGCTTAAAAAGATGTTGTTGATACGATTTTGGAACTGGCTAAGGTCAGTAGAACTGCGTAGAGTCCCCACAGGTAGATTATTCCACAATCTTTGATCTTTGGACTATCCCAAAAGAGTGACGTCTCAATTTTTTCGAAAGTTGGCTATAACTCAAATTATCGAATTTTTAACTTCCCGCAATAAGTGTCTTTCGGCTCGACCTCGTATATTTTTTGGTCACGAACACAAACATCAACACAAACTCAAACACAAACACAAACATAATCACGATCATAACCACAATTACAACCACAATCACAACTACACAACCACACAACTACACAACCACTCAGCTACACAACAACAGAATTACAACCACAATCACAACCACGACCACAACCACAATCACAACCACAATCACAATCACAACCACAATCATAATCACAATCTCGACCACGACACGACCGCGACCTCGACCACCACCACAACCACGACCACAACCATAACTACAACCATTACTACAATCAGAACCACAATCGCAACCACAAACACAACCACAAACACAACCACAAACACAACCACAAACACAACCACAAACACAACCACAACCACAAACACAACCACAAACACAACCACAAACACAACCACAAACACAACCATAAACACAACCATAAACAAACCACAACCACAAGCACAACCACAACCACAACCACAACCACAATCACAAACACAACCACAATCACAACCACATTACTCAACCATACACACAACCACAAACACAATCACAAACACAATCACAAACACAACCACAAACACAACCACAAAGACAACCACAAACACAACCACAACCACAACCACAACCACAAACACAACCACAAACACAACCATAAACACAACCAAAAACACAACCACAAGCACAACCACAACCACAAACAAAACCACAATCACAAGCACAAATCAAACCAAACGACACCAAACCAAACCACAACCACAACGACAACCACAACCACAACAACCAATACCACAACCACAACCACAATCACAAACACAACCACAATCAGATATCTCGAACGGTTGTAAACTTTTGGGCAGAAAAAATGCTACATTATTGTCTCGCTATCAAAGTCTCCAGATCTGAGCATAAGCGGAGTGGCCCTCAAGGTACTATTGTTTAAAATAACTATTCTTTATGCAGAGTATACATCAATTGCTGAAACAATGGGATATGTGCCTTAACTGTAATCGTAATTATTTGTAAACGTCAGGTAACCAAATAAGTTCGTGCGGTTTTTAGTAAAAAAATATGAATTTTTATTGAGAAACAATAAGATACTATTTATTCGTCGAAGTAATTAATGACCTTTTGCCAACGTGGAACCAACTTTCGTATGCTGGTATTGTAGAACTCCCTGAATTTGGAGTGAAAACAATTGGCGGACTGCATTTATTACATCATCTCGAGTTGTGAACTGGTGGAAAAGGTGATAATCACATACTCGTTGAAGCAGCTTACAATGCTTTGATCCCTCTCCAAAAAGTTCAATAATGGACAATTCCAATTAGATTTCGAATACAAGATCCATTTATCATCGCAGGTTAATAACCGATTAAGAAATGATTCATTAGCGTTTTGCGTGAAATGTTTGCTGAACGAATGGTAATATGACTTAATTTGTTATCATTTGTCAGTTCATGTGCGACCCATTTGCTTAACTTCCACGTCTTTCCTAGCTGATAAAGATGCAAACGAATAGTTTCAGGACCCACTCTGAACATTTCTGCAAGTTGTCCTGCCCCCGCAAGACACAGCGTCGATTCTGTTTTGTATCGAGAAAGCAGTATAATCGACCAATTGTGTACTTGTCATTTTCGTCGCGACCGCAGCGTAACATTATTCACGGGCCACTTGAAAAGGGTCTGTGCACTACCTCGACACAAGCCGCACGCGCTTGCTTTTGTCTCTCCCTAAAAAATCATTTAAGCATAAGCATGTGCTGCACGTTATACAGATCCGTACAGATCAAATGCGAAGTACGATATCTGATTGGTCGGTCGAGCCGAGAGCTCCCAAAACCCGGAAATATTTCGCGGACTGATTAATTTTTCTGCTGAGCTTGATACAACCTTAAGCGAACACATAAAAAATGCTTCAATATTTAAAGGAACTTCGAAAGAAATACAAAACGATCTACTGGATTGTATTCTTGAAGTTTGTCTTGAAGAAATAATGAAACAGATTAACAGAGCCTGTTTTGTTCTGAAACCTGGATTCGTAAAATATGGCGGATGGCGTTCCCAAAGGAACGGAAACAGGTATTATTTGCCGGATGGGTAATTTAGCTTGCCGTTCCCTGAAACAACAAAACACAACGCCCATGTGTCTTGATCGCGATGCCTTTTCAACGGCCTTCTGTCGTTTCAAACCAGACTGCGTGGCTCCAGCACAGATTTGTGATGGTGCAGGCAAAAACAGGAAATAGACCCATTTTGTATCGGGATTTAGGGATAATTAATGCCTATCTGTGTTTTCTTTCAAAATACGTCTCGTTTTAACAAAAATGATGCGTTTTGCTTCTCACGATAGACAAATATCAAAGATTCATGAGTTATAAGATCGAGCCCACTGATCGCTTTTTAAGAAAGTTTATATTTCAAAATTGTCCAAATTTGCAATATTACTATGATGCTTAACAGACAAAGCCTATATCTCACTAACTACAAAATGTGTTAAGAACATTAAAGTAAACTGATACATGACATGTTTAATCCGTTCCAAGAAAAAATATCCAAAATTTCAAGATATCAATATCTAAAAAGTCGAGGTAAAGTAGTGTAAATCGTATTGTAAATTCAACATATTTGATGAAATAACTCGTTAGTGACTCATTTGAACTGAATGATAATTTAGGGCCGTATCGTCAGTCGTTTTACGACGCCATTATGTCCTCCTTGATTGGCGGGGCTATTTCTAGATGTTCACTGTTCCGTATCAGCCCTCTATTTTGAGGTTATGTTACAAATATCCATTTGCATCAAATATTACAGGCTTTTGATTTTTATCGCCTGTTTCATCAGCCTGAAACTTCCTACAGTTCAAAAAGAAAACATAAACTTACAATAGGAGAACGCTGACAAAAAACTACTAATAAAAAATATCTAAAAACTGTTGCGCGTCTATGATCCAGACGGAAGCTTGTTTTCTGGGTAAATCGAGTGCGTAGATTCCAAATTCGATGTCGATACTGTACTAGAAATTACGGCTAGTCCGAAAAAATGGTTTCCTGACAAATTTTCACCCTAAATCCAGTCTGATGACAGTTTAGAGTTCTTTCACTATGATATTCATATTTAGCGCCCCAAATTACCTCATTGAGCAAAGCTTTGCTTCCATGTAATCATCTATAGTAAGACTGGGTGTGTCCTCCTTGATTGGCAGGGCTATTTCTATATGTTCACTGTTCCGTATCAGCGCTCTATTTTGAGGTTATGTTACAAATATCCGTTTGCATCAAATCGTGCAGGCTTTTGATTTTTATCGCCTGTTTCAAAAGCCTGAAACTTCCTACAGTTGAAAAAGAAAACATAAACTTACAATAGGAGAACGCTGACAAAAAACGACTAATAAAAAATATCTAAAAAGTGTTGCGCGTCTATGATCCAGATGGAAGCTTGTTTTCTGGGTAAATCGAGTGCGTAGATTCCAAATTCGATGTCGATATTGTGCTAGAAATTACTGCTAGCCCGAAAAAATGGTTTCCTGACAAATTTTCACCCTAAATCCAGTCGGATGACACTTTAGAGCTCTTTCACTATGATATTCATATTTAGCGCCCCAAATTACCTCATTGAGCAAAGCTTTGCTTCCTTGTAGTCATCTATAGTAAAACTGAGTGTGTCCTCCTTGATTGGCAGGGCTATTTCTAGATTTTCACTGTTCCGGATCAGCGCTCTATTTTGAGGTTATGTTACAAATATCCATTTCCTATCAAATCGTGCATGCTTTTGATTTTTATCGCCTGTTTCATCAGCCTGAAACTTCCTACAGTTCAAACATAAACATAAACTTACTATAGGAGAACGCTGATGCTTATAGGGAACAGTAGATATCTAGAAATACCCCAGCCTTTTTGAAGGAGAGAAAATACCATGAAAATCAATCCGGCGTCCTGCAATTATTTGTTGAAACGACTGACGATACGGCCCTTAAAGTAAGATTCTTAAATGTTTCTTTCAAAATGCACAACAGAAAACGTATGTATACCGGTTGACAGTGAAAATTGGAAACACGCTGTATTTTTTTGACAAATAAAAATATCGCTCCAAGATTGGAACATGTTTAGTTAGTCACTAAGAGGCATTTCTGGAAAGTTGAATGGGTTAACTTTCCCTTCTGGGGAGTTTAAAATATTTTTATATGGCAGATTTTAGGTTATTCACAAATTCCTTTATAGCGCCGCCATTTTGAAACGAAAACGT